GGGGGGGGGGGGGGGGGGGGTGGTAATTGATTCTTCCTACGGATGAGATGTGTGTCTTGTTCCGAAAAGGAGACAGTCTCTATAGTCAAGGACTTCCGACCTATTAGTCTTGTCACGAGTATCTATAAGAACATTGCCATTGTAGCTAACTGTTTCAGGAAAATCCTTCCTAGTACTATCCCTATTTCTCAAGGTGCTTTTGTAGCTGGGGCGCAAATCCTAGACCAAGTGCTCATAGCCAATGACGCAATTGAGGACTATAGAGAAGGGAAAAGAATGATTTTCAAAATTGATTTTGAGAAGGCATTTGATCATGTTGATTGAGAGTTCTTGGACACGACCCTTGGTAAGAAAGAATGACTTTGGCTTCAAAGGGAGAACTTAGATGTAGAGTTGTTTCAAGAAGATTAATTTCTCCATCCTTCTTAATGGAAAACCTAGGGACTAGGGCTACTAGGTGACTTAGGCAAGGAGATTCCCTTTCTCCTTTCTCGTCATTCTAGCTGTGGATGTTCTCAAACAGGTTGGTGTCAACTAGTACGGAAAAGGGTTGCGTTGATAGTTTTCAGGTAGGGAGGGAGTCAGTTTGCCTTTTTCGTCTTCAATTTGCTAATGATTCCCTCTTCTTTTGTTTGGGGAAGGAATGCTCTTTTGTGAACTTGAATAGGTTGTTTTCCTTTGAAGTGATTTTGGACCTCAAGATTAATAGATGTAAGAGCATTATCTTGGGTAATTTTTTATTTATTACAAGAACCAAAGAGGGAATATATTCCACCAAAAGAACAAGAACAACCTAAGGGTCGGGGGTAGAGAGACCCCCAAAATCCTATACAAAGAGAGCCTTCCAATAATTTATAATCATTGAAATGTAATTACAAATAAGTTTGCATGTAAAGAAATCCACCAGGAAGCTGTATGTTGTACCAAATTACAAAAGAAATCAAGACATAAAGGACTTATCTTCAAAAGCTCAAGCATTCCTTTCCTTCCACATTGCTGCAAAAGAGCTTTAAAGGCTCAACTTCCAACTACCTTGGTTTTACTTTTCAAATTCCAAGCAACTATAAAGCTCCAAGCCCAAGAAGCGTACTCACCGTGAACCAACCCACAAAATGTTGAAAATCTCCAGCCTAATACAATACCTCTTGTAGCCGAAAACTTTCCTCTCGGTATACCATTAATCAAAATAGAAGAGTTTGTGGTCTTCAGACTCCCTCTTATCCACTTCCTCCAAAGCCATCCAAAACCTTTCAACTCCAAAGTCACAAGGAATCTACCGTCCACCTTATCATACGCTTTCTCCAGATCAAGCTTCAGGTGGAAACCACTTTTCTTGGGCACATTCTAGGCTTCAACAATCTCGGAAGCCACTAAGATAGCATCAAGATTTGCCTTTCTTGAATAAGGGGTTCCAATCACTGATTGTGGAAAGCAACACTTTTTTAGCAAGCTTCTCAACCATAATCTTATACGAGGCGGAAATCAAACTAATTGGCCAAAAATAATTGTCTCTGAGAGTTTCTTCTTCTTGGGGATTAAGCAAACATAGGTTTCATTTGTGCACCTATTGATGACATGAGTTTGAAAAAAATTCTTGGGTAGTGTCGAAATGTTCCAAAACTTTTCATAAAACTCTCCAATCATCCCATGAGGGCCAGGGGATTTGAGGCTGCCCAAGTCTTTGACAGCTTTGAAAATTTATCCTCTTCAAAAGGTCTTTCTAGCCTTGAGCTTCTATGATCATCTAGCAGAGCCCAAGTATGCTGTCCATCATAAACCGAAGACCATTATCTGCTGTATATAACTTCTAGTTGAAGTCAATAAGCTCATCTTCTATTTCTCTATCCATAGCTAGAAGTCTTCCAAGTCACTTTCGAGGGCAGAGGTAAAGGCTCTATTCCGCCAAGATGAAACCCATTTGTGATAAAAGGGAGTGTTTTCATGCCCCTCATTTAACCATCTAATTTTGCATCTTTTGGTTCTGGATATGTTCCTCATTTAAATTCGGCAGGGACCGCTTTCAGTCTAACTCTACCATTTTTTTTTTGCTTTGGGGACATCCTTCCTTGTTCCTCCTTATTATCAATTTGAGCAATCTAAGCAATGAAGTTCTACTTTTCATATCACATTCCCTAAGGTTTCTTTGTTCCATGCCACTAAACAAGACCTCAACCCTTTAAGCTTCTCCATAAACTTATAACCACCCAACTATTCAGATTTTGTTCAGCTTACCAACTCTCCACCTTTTCCTTGAAATTTGGAGCTTCAAGCCAAATATTCTAAAATTGTGGGGCCCATTTAAACGAGCACAAACTCAGAACAAGAGGGAAACGATCATACGTTGGCCTCTTGGAATAAGGCATTCTTTCCTATGGGGGTGACTTACTCTGATTCAATCTGTCATGAGTGGCATCCTTATCTACTTCCTTTCTGTTTTTAAGGTCCCTGTTGCAGTGTGCAATAAGTTGGAGAAGATGATGAGGGGCTTTTTATGGGAGGACGTGGAGGAAGGAGGTGGGTTTCATTTGGTTAGGTGGGAGGTGGTGTCAAGGTCAGGGAGCTAGGGGGTTTAGGCATTGGTAAGCTGAGGTGTTGTAGTGGGTCTTTGTTAGCCAAATGGTTATGGTGCATTTTATGTTAAGCAATTCCTTCATCTTTTGATTTTGAATATTTTCTCTTTTCTTTCAGCTTGAAGATGACAGAGGATGAATTTCTGGTCTATTAAATTTCAAGTTAGCGCATGTGAAGAGTCTTCCCAACTCAAGAAAAAATCCAAAAAGGAAAAGAGTCTAAAATCTTCTTCCTAATTCATGTCCTTGTAACATAATATAAGTTTTGTGAGAATGCAAAATGTTTAATTTAACCCCAAGTAAAACACTCGTTAGTAACTGTATTAATGCATGCCACCAATAATAACAGTTCATGCGTGAAAGAGAAGGCTGGATGGAGTAGTATGTTTCAGTTTCGTTTGAGGTTATAAGTTTATGGTAGAAATTTATGTAGAGTTTTATATATTTTATGATTTTTGAACCCCGAATGTTCTAGGCTTCGGTGGTTGCTTTGTGAAATTAGTCGAGGTATGCACAAATTTATTGGAAATGATTAAAAATAATAAGTACCGTAACCTACTAACTAAAGTCAGCTTATTTTGGGAGATGAAGATGATGTTATCGTAGAATTCTTCTGTCTTCGTCCATCTTCTTTACACATGAAGGAGCTATTTATTTTGTATTTTTCTTTCCACTTATAAATGATACATAAAACTACATGCATAATGTATTTTGTTTGGGTTGTTTCCTTTCTGAATTTTCCCTAATGTTTTCTATTCTTGGATTTGCATATTTATGCTACAATCTCCTAAGGGTTTTTTTTTTTCTTGGTGGATATTTCAGATGAGCCTTGTGACTAATTCTCTGGCTCATTCATCGAGCAGTGACGATTTTGCTGCATTTCTTGATGTAGCTCTGGATTCTCATTCCTCTGACTCATCGCCGAATGAAAAGGCTGAGGGTCATAATAATGTTGAAACTGAGAGGTACTTCTAGTTTTTTTGAAATTAATAAATTTCCATTGATCTTTGAAGTTAATAATATCTGAAGACACTGGTTTAGTGTTTTTTTGGAATTATAGTTTTTGGTTAATCTAATGTGTTCAATACTTTAATGTTGAGTTCAAATGGGAAGTGTTTTATAGGTTGTCTGGTTCTCTTTTAAATCCTCATATGGTGAAAAATAGGAAAATAGGAGTTATTATGTTTTAAGAGTAATGGGTTTCTGTTTTTAATTTCTGGACGGTCTTTCATAAGGATTGGTTTAACATTACAGATTTCCCATCTGGCTTTCTTGTGCTAGTCTATAACAATTTAAAGATTTTAAGCTTCGAATTTCAAACTTGGTTTTTTTAAGTAGAAATTTTAAGAAACCAAGTTACAAGAAGAAGAAGAATGTATTCTTCTCCTTTTGCATGAATACCAACATTGAGTTGCGGCAAGTGGCGACTATCATTTCTATACATAATAACGAGGGTTTCTAGGATTTGTTATAAGTTAGAACCATATATGATATAACTAAATTGCGGTAATTTATCTTTATTTTATCAAAAGTTAACATGTGATTTTTTTTTTTTCATTCAATTCATTTATTTTTTTAGGATAAAACGTCACAAGGTGGAGAAGCTGGAAAACTCAGGGGAGGATATTCTGTATGGAGTTGAAGAGCATAGTTCAGGTAAATTGAACTGTTCCTACTCCTTTTGTTGTGCCTCTTTTACTGTCTCTACTCTTTACTTTCAATGTAGCTAATTTTTGCTGCCACCTGTACTATACTTAACCACTTCCTCACTTCTTAGACAACTATGTATATGATGTACTTGTTGAATCAGTCCCTTTTCCCCATCCTCTCTCTATATTTGTAGAGCTTTTCCCTTCGGACTCTTCTGTCGCATATTGTGTTTTTGGTGGTTGCCTTCTCTTCCCTTCTTGTATTTGAATCTGATTGGAAGTTTGTCACCTTTCTTTATCCCTCTTTTATTTGAATTGTATGAGCTTCTCTAAAAACCATATCATGTTGGCTCCAAATGATCTATATATCTATAAATACCAACTTATTAGTATTTTCGGGTAAGGAAGTATTCCATATAAAATATAAAATTGAAAGCGAGGGGAAAGAAACCTACATCCCTGTAACTAGAAGCGTAATCACATAAAAAAGTACTCAGCCCCAGTCTGGGCGCCACTAATCAGAAAAATCTAACTTGGAGGTGCCTGAGTTAGTCTATTTACTCTTTATCATGTACGGAATTTTGATTAAGTGATCAGCATCCGCTTTCATTGGATAAACCCCTCATTCCCAGGAGTTCAGCATATTGCCAACCACATTCTTAGAATACATAGATTCAGAGGCACACTGTCTTTTCTAGACACGTAAAAATTTAACTTTGTTACCTTTAATAAAAATCCAATTTCGTCAGACATCAAACTTCACTACACATTAAAGAGAAAATGGGACCTATTCGGGTGCCTCCAAGTTAGATATTTCTGATTTTAGGAGTGGTGCCTGACTGGATTGTAAGAAAATGGGCCTTGAGTACTTCCTCTGGCTTTATCTTAACATAGGATGGGAGTTATTCTTCCATATGGTAGCGGTGAATGATCTTTGGTCTAAATGAAAATAGTCATTTTAGATTCTTGGTTATTCGAGAACTAGGAATAACAGGGATGCTAAATGGTATGCATCAATTTCGCAGTATCTGAATTCATGAACTATTTCAGCCCATCAGTCCTCTGCTCACCATATATCCCTTGTTTTGGCTCCTTTCTTCCTCTACTATCGTGTCCCATTCAATTCCATGTAATTATAACTTATTAACTTGAGATATAAAAGCCTTCATGAGTATTTGTTCCCTTGTATCTCTGCATTGTTTTCTTTTCTCTCTATTTTCTGAATTCTGCTATTTTGAAAACAACAATCAATGCAGAAGTATTATCAAAGCAGCAATTATGCAGTCATCCTGGTTCGTTTGGAAACATGTGTATCATCTGTGGGCAGAGGTTGGATGAGGAATCTGGCGTGACATTTGGGTATATACATAAGGTATAATTTCTTTATTTGGATGCATAATTATCTTCTATTCTTTGTTACCATGTATAGAATGGCTGGAAGGAACTCAGAAGGCTAGTTTACAAAATGGGATCCATTTAGAAGAGGAATGAGAAATGAGAAATGATGTCAAGCTTTTAATTTTATTTGTGGTTTTGCATTATGAACAGGAAAAAAGAGCTGTACTGATAAATATATAACTCAGCCATCTTCTCCAGGGCAAATTTTCCTTTTGGTTTTGCATTATGAACAGAAAAAAAAGGGCTGTGCTGATAATACAAAACTCATCCATCTTCTCCATCATTGAAAAAAACCCTTTCTTAAGAACACTATTCAAAATCTACAATCCATTGTTTTGTAGCTTTATCAAGGTCTATTTTGAAAATCCACCCTTGCTTACTTTTTGTTATCTCCTCCTCTACTGCCTCATTTGCTATAGCCTATTGGGATTGCTTCAAGTTTTTGTCTACCTTTCATGAAGGGCTTGTTGATTTCCTGAACTTGTGCTATATAGCGTTTGTTTTGGAACCATGGCAATGATTTTATGTATTGCAGTCACTGTGGGTCATGGATGTATGTTCCATTGAGGGAAATATAGAACATGATGAGGGACCAAAAATAACTGGAGCTTAAGGATATCTTTTTATGATTGTCCAATATTTTTATCTTGTTCGAGTTCATTGATTTTTACAACTCTTGAGAATCTGTCTGGTTACGCAGATTTACTATTCCCTTTTTGTTCAGCTATGGTTCTGGCATACATGTTTGTATGTTAGACATTTCCCTCCGTGGGACATAAATCAAGGAAATAATTTGTTTCATTTCCACCTTTCAACCATCCAACCTTATATTTGTGACTCCGCTTTATAGTCTGTCTGAGACATTCAGATACTACGTAAGTTTTGTATTTTCCTTTACACGATTTCCAGTTAATGGAACCCTCAATCCTGTTTGATCAACTTTCTGCTGGAAGATAGTGAAATGATCCCGTGACCCTTTGGCTTTGTGGGGATATCTCATTCCCCTTCGTTTGTATATGCCTCTTTGATCAATATATTGTCAGTTTCTTTTTTAAAAGAAGCAAGCGGTGAATTTTCCTATGTAGTTTGAGATGTTCTGTTGATATTATTTTAACTTCAGTTACATTCATTCACTGTTGAAAAAATTGAAACCTATGGAGTTTAATTTACTATGACTGGAGAAGTAATAATAACTTGTAATTGCCAGTGGATCAAACTATGTGCTAACTATATGACCCTTCTGAGAATCTTGTAGGGACTCAGGCTTAATAATGATGAAATTAACCGGCTTCGTAACATAGACATGAAGAACTTGTTGCAGCATAAAAAGCTTATCCTGGTTCTTGATCTAGATCACACACTGTTAAATTCAACTCAGCTGGGGCATTTGACACCTGAAGAGGATTATTTAAGGAATCAAACGGATTCGCTAGAAGGTACACTGTCCTCTCATCTGTGCATAGTTTTATTTTCTAAAGTAACTTCATATTGTTTTTACTTTTGTTTCTTTACCATAGTGATTTTGCTGTCACCCCTGCTCTTTTCTTTTGTTTGTTTTAATAAGAAACATCTCAGTATATTCCCCAAGTCCCGAGCTTTTGTACTTTCTTTCTTAAATTATTAGCACCTTGAGCAGTTACAGTTGTAGGTTAGCAAACAGTCTTCTTTTATTTAAAATTAAAACTTTTAAGTTCGGCATGGACAAATTTGGAGCACATAGTTTAATAATAATTTTTTGTTTGTTTTGTTTTTTTGTTGTTGTTCTTGTAAGAAATGCAGATACAAATAAATACCAAAGAGAAGAAGTTACACCCAAAAGGAAGGGGTAGAGGTAACCTCCCCAAAAGAGAAGAAATGCCCTCTAATCTGTCATGATCAAAAGGTGGCTATAATTACACAATAATTTGGTATGGTCTGAACGCCACCAAGAAGCTAAATGATGTACATTATCGCAAAAGAACGAAAAGAAACAGACTTATCTTCAAATATTCATCGGTTTCATTCTTTCCAAATAAGTAAGCCAAACGAGAGTTGTAACTGCACAATTTCGAAGGACCTTGCCTTTGAGGTTCCAACTTGTCTGTCATCCACTCATCCGCCTTACTAGGGAGGCAAATATCCAACCACATGCTATTTAAAACAAACACCACCCTTTATATGCAAAAGGACAATTAAGAAAGAGGTGGTTCAAAATCTCCTCACTATAGCATAGACAACAAACCGCAGGGGATAAAACCCATTTGGTACGAGCTGAAGAGTCTTTCTCATGTCACATAGATTTCAAAGAAGATGCTGAAAGTGTACTGTGTTTGTGTCCAAGTTTAAAACAAAATAAAGTTGCATTAAATGGACTCGGCTTCATTTATGACAAACCGAAGTTAAACTAAAGTTATATTAAATGAAGTAAAGTCGTGTCAAAGTTGAAGTCAAGTTGCATTGGGAAAACTCCAAGTGTCCATCAAAGTTCATTTAGTGCAAGTTAAACATTAATAATGAAACCATGGTTCAAACTATTGTAAGTGGAACTTTATTTTGTGACCATCCTTGTCTAGGATTTGAAATTTAGATTTGGCATCTGATGGCCCCAGCATTCCCCTACATCCTCTGCGACGTAGTCATATGGCCTACTCCTTGCTTCTTAAGTGTGGAAACTATCTCCATAGACCAACACGAGTTCTAGCATGTTTTGTTCTCAGGTAGTGACTTTCAATTATTTTAAGTCTTTCTTAGTCGTCCTATCCTTAGAATCGCTCTCATTCGGATGTGGTCTTGGTTCATTCATGTACCTGTCCTTTACTCAGGATCGCTCTCATTTAGAATCTCATAATTGCCTTGGGAAATTACAACCACCTTTCTAACTTCCTATTCAAATTTAAATACAAATAAAACGGTTTAACTGAATGTTCTAATCACCAAGGTAAGGTAATTGGAGGTCTAACAAATTCGAGCTTGGGTCAGTTTATTGCATTCTTGTGCTACTCATTTCTCTGTTTAATTAAAAACTAAAATTGATGTTTGGAAGGGGATCGAGTGATGTTTGGCCCCTTGCAAGTTCTATGATTCTCCTTGGACTTCATTTCTCCTTTTTTTTTTGTTTCCTCAATAAAATTTGGTTTTTCATGAATAATATTAATAATATTAATAACAACAATAACAATAATAATAACAATAATAATAACAATAACTGATTGAATCAATCAGTATAAGAACTCTTAGGCATGACTCATGAGGCTATCTCTGCATCTTTCTACTCTGACTTAGAGAAGTTTCTGAGAGATCTGTTGAGAGTTGGGTTTCAATGGCCTATTTTAAGATGAGGAGGCTGACATAATTTTCTTAATTTTGTAATGTGCATCTCAAGCCTTCGTACTTTCAATTAACAATTTTTTCCCTGGTCCCTATTACCATGAAAGCAAACAACACAGTTTTATTATTTATTGATTTAATTTTTTAAATCATTGATTGTCATAACTTTGAAATAGTGCTTATTTTATTTAAGCTTGATTTCTTATATAATGTCTTGTAATTAATTTTATAAAGTTGGCTTAATCGTCTAACATTCCTACAAATTTCTGATGTTGGTTACTCCATTTATCTTTTATGCTATGTGATAAAACTTCGGATAGATGTCACGAAAGGCAGCCTTTTCCTTTTGCATTCCGTGCATACCATGACAAAATTGAGGCCATTTGTCCATACATTTTTGAAAGAAGCTAGTCAATTATTTGAGATGTATATATACACTATGGGGGAACGAGCATATGCATATGAAATGGCAAAGTTGTTGGACCCCAAGAGGGAGTATTTTAGTTCTAAAGTTATTTCTCGGGATGATGGCACTCAAAAACATCAAAAGGGTCTTGATGTGGTGCTGGGTCATGAAAGTGCTGTTCTGATCCTCGATGATACTGAAAATGTAAGTGTATCTAGAATTAGCTATATTTTTATACGGTTGATCTGTTGGTCCTGCCTATTTATCATCACTGAACGAGTATGTGACCGTGGGATTCCCTTCATACATTGAAAGGGCCCGATAAATTTAACATCCTAATAAAAAAATACGAAAATACTATACTTAAATAGAATCTTGTAATGGGATTTCTTGTAAATGCTTACTTAGTGATATTGTCTTAGTTCCTCAAGCAAAAATCTCATAATCCTGGTTTTCTGTTCTTTGTGATTCTGTCTTAGATATTGATGTTGAATTGGGGTACCTTTTACGGAGCTTGGAACATTGATTTCGTCATCTTTGGGTTGCTGAACTACCTACTCATAAATATGGAGCTAAACATTGTCAATTGTTATGATAGGCCTGGACAAAGCATAAAGAAAACTTGATATTGATGGAGAGATATCATTTTTTTGCTTCAAGTTGTCACCAATTTGGGTTCAACTGTAAATCTCTATCTGAGTTGAAGAGTGACGAGAGTGAAACTGATGGGGCACTGGCGACCATTCTCAAAGTTCTCAAGCAAGTTCATAATATATTCTTTAATGTATTCCCTTTACCTATCTATTCTTACATTTTTGTTTTCGATCTTTTTGCCTCAATCTCACTGTAAGGATTTCTTCTGCAGGAACTCTCTGAAGATTTGGTCGACAGAGATGTGAGGCAGGTAAAAGTTTGTTTCCTCTAAAAGTTTAGAGATCTATTGTGCTTCTTGTGATGGCTGGAATTTCTCGTTCATTCCTACATTTCTATCTTTTACTCGATCAAATTGAAATATGACATTTTTATTGTTAGTTCACAGATAAACATGGTTGAAGTATCAAGTTTTAGGTCTAACAGATTCCTAATGTGAGATCCCACGTCAATTGGGGAGGAGAACAAAGCATCCTTTATAAGGGTGTGGAAACCTCTCCCTAGCAGACGCGTTTTAAAACCTTGAGGGGAAACCCGAAGGGAAAAGCTCAAAGAGGACAATATCTGCTAGCGGTGGGCTTGAGCTGTTACAAATGGTATCAAAGCTAGACACCGGGCGATGTGCTAACGAGGAGGCTGAGCCCTGATGGGGTGTGGACACAAGGCGGTGTGCCAGCCAGAACGGTAGGCCCTGAAGGAGTTGGGGGATCCCACATTGATTGAAGAAGGGAACGACTGCCAACGCTGGGCCTAGAAGGAGGGTGGATTGTGAGATCCCACATCGATTGGAGAGGAGAACAAAACATCCTTTATAAGGGTGTGGAAGCCTCTTCCTAGCTGACGCGTTTTAAAAACCTTAAGGGGGAAGCCTGAAAGGGAAAGCCCAAAACGGACAATATCTGCTAGTGGTGGGCTTAGGCCGTTACACCTGAACTTTCAATTTTGTAACAAGTCTCTGAACTTTTTATTATGTCTAGTAATTCCTAAACCATCTACCAAGTGCTTAACCTATTTGCCTATTTCAAAATTTATTTATTAGACCCAAAACAAGTTTCAAATTTTATGTTTAATAGATTCGTAAATTTAGAAAAATATCAAATAGATTCGTCAATTCACATGAGAAGGAAATGAGCATCGAGAATATTTTTACATTTATGTCATGGACATAATATTGTCTTCAATTCAACAGGTATTAAAGACTGTTCGGAGCAAAGTCCTGGAGGGATGCAAGGTTGTCTTCAGCCGAGTGTTTCCTACCAAATTTCAGGCTGACAACCATCACCTCTGGAAAATGGTTGAGCAGTTGGGAGGCACATGCTCAACTGAACTCGACGCATCTGTGACACATATAGTCTCAACAGATGCTGGAATGGAGAAGTCGCGTTGGGCGGTGAAGGAGCAGAAGTTTCTGGTTCATCCACAGTGGATAGAAGCATCAAACTACTTCTGGAAACGAGAAGCGGAGGAAAAGTTCCTGGTCGAGCACACCAAGAAACAATGACAGTTTCTCTCGTTGCAGGAGTCCCACATTCCTCTTAATTGGAGCTTGCATTTGTTGGCTGTGCTGGTAGTGTTCCCTTGAATTCACCTTCTCAGGTCAGCGTCTCACTTTTTAAAGCACCCCCCTAAAATGCACTTAAAGCGTTGATTGAAAGCCGAGCTCTGTTTGTATAGATGTTTAGATACATGGTGTTCTAATTTTGGCCAACCATTTTGAGTTGGTTTATAATTATAGGATAAAATTTATGAGCTAAATAGACACCAATATACTAAAATTATATTTTGTTAAATTGTTTGTATTATGCAATTTTTTTCTCTGTTTTTTATTATTAATTTAGTTTTTATGTTTTTTTTTTTTTTTTTTTTGGTCTCTT